CTCAAGAAAAAGAGGATTGACTAAATGAGTGAGAGATGATGCTGAATGGATATGAGCTGAGGCCACTGGCAAGCACTGGAAGCACTGGCTTCACCTGGCCTCAGCACTGGCAAGGACACCCAGATGGGGTAAGATAGGGAGTGAGATGCCTCTCCAAAAGCTGGCAAAGCCACTGTGTGTGTGTGTGGAAGGGAGTTACCAGGCTGTAATCAAAGCTGACCAATAGCAGGAACAGACAGACATGAGGTTAATGATTCAGAATGCAATAGGAGAAACTGAGAGTGTGGCAAGGCAGAGTCTGAGCCAGTCAGAAGCAATAGCTGGGACATGGTCAGCAGCCAGGAAAGTGGGTCATGACAATAGAGGATCCAGGTGAAGGGCCACCTTTCATTGGGCTACTCAGGAACTTCAAAGCAGCCAATGGCCCAGCCTCTAAAGTCAGACATTTTGGGTACCTCCAGGATTGAATTTTTCTCTACAAAGAGATCACTCAGTTGTTCAGGCTAATTTTAATTCATGAAACAGACTTAGCTGGAACCTCAGAGATCAAATGCTCCAACCACTACCTAAGCAAGGATCTTGTTTGCCATTTTCATCAAACATTCCTGGAGCCTCTACAAACATTCCTGAAGACCTCCAGGAATGGGAAAGTCACTACCTCCCAAACATCCTGCTGCACTTTAGGACAGCTGTAACTGTTAGGAAGATTTTCTGGACTCTCCCCCAATCATACTAGGGGCTCCCTGGAGGAGGGAATCTCATTTCTCCCATCAGACTAAATGCTATTCCAGGTCGAGAGCTGCATTTCCTGCCCAGTCCCAAGCTCTACTCTCCAAGAGCTCCCGTATCTCTGTGGTCCCCAAAGCTATGAGCAACAGGGCATTCTATCCTCTTCTCCCCCTGTCCACTGATCCTGATAAGCTCACACTGAAATGGGATCAGGTACAATAATCAGAAGCAGATTTCTGAGAACTCAAATCCACACACATCAATTACACGGACACAATATTACAATTGAAAATGAAAACAGTGGGCCTAGGTTCTCCATTAAGGAGAAAACCTCACCACCTTCATTTGGGGGAGGGGAGGGTGTTTAGTCAGCACTATATGCAGGCAGCTGCCTGGCTATGTAATACCTTTCACACTCAGTACTACCCTGAGTATTAAGGGGAAGGGAAAATTCCTGAATCCAAGAGAACCTGCACAAATCACTTTCCTGACCTTTCAGAACTTTCAGAGATAGGACCCTCCTTATTTATAGCCACAGAGCAGACAGTGAACTAACCAGCACCCAGGCCCTTACACTGAGTTTTTCAATGTACTACATCATCACTGGAATTTTGTATAATTTTGGCATATGCATGAGATACACCTTGATGGAGGAGATACTCTAAAATAGTGTTTTGCTAAACTGAATCAATTTTTTATAGACAAGAAATAAAAATAAAAAGAGTAGGGCCTTGTATTATCTGAATATTTTAATATTCTTTTATCTACAAATCATGGAACACTATATTCTCCAAAAAAAATGAATTTGAAAATCATCCAAATTGCAATGGAGAGTTGTACTGTGGGTGTGAGCGGGCTGAAACACACTACAAATGAGTAATTATGCAGGAAAATAGGTGCTAAGCATGTCATCCAAGAAGTGTATGATCAAAAGCAATTTGGAACCAAATGGAAAAAAAATGGCTATCCATATCCTTTGACCCATATCCCATTGTCAGGTATACAACTGAAGGAAGTAAAAAAATGGAAAGGTCCCAAATACATCAAAATACTTATAGCAGCACATTTAGTGGTAGCAAAAAACTGGAAACAAAGGAGATGCCCATTGATTAAGGAGTGATTTTGAAAAAATGTGGTAGATGATTGTAATAGAACATGATTTCACCATAAGAAACAATAAATATGAGGAAATCAGAAAAACATTGGGCAGCTAAGTGACAAAGTAAAAAGAGTGCTGGCCTTGGAGATAGGAAGAGTTGAGCTCAAATTCTGCTTTATATACTTACTAGCTATGTGACCCTAGGCAAGTCACTTAAATTCAGCTTCAGTTTCTTCATCTGTAAAATGAGGATTAAAAATAGCCTCTACCTCATGGTGTTGTTGTGGCTTTCAAATAAGATAACATGAAAAGGCACACAGGTGGGTAATTCAAATTTATTAAGCATTTACTAGGTGCTAAATGTTGGGGATATAATTACAACCATTTTTGTTACAATAGAAAGCGTGCTGGGTAAGGAGTGTGATATAAAAACAAAATGCATCAATAAAACAAACAAAAGAAATGTGTGATGCAAAGATAAGGAAGTCTGGTCATGTAATGAAAGTGAGGGATAACCAATAGAATGGCTTAGGTGTTCCATTGATAATCGTGTAATGTCAAAAAAAAAAAATTCAAGGAAAGTGCCCAGTATGTTGAATGGACCCTAGTAGGCAACTTGAGAAAGTACACCATTAAGAGGAACAGGCTATGAATAGCTTGCAATCTGCATTGTTGGATGGTATAACCACACTGATGGGATCACAAGTCTATTGGAGTATAGGAATCCTCAAAATCAGTGGTGTTCAAATTTTTTGATAACTACCCTTTTCAGTAAAAAAAAATTTTTGAGCATATTCCTCCCATGTATATATGCTCATTTACTTATAAATTATAAATATATATATTATTGTACTGGGCAGCTAAGTGGCACAGTGGATAGAGCACCAGCCCTGGAGGCAGAAGATTCATCTTCCTGAGTTCAAATCTGGCCTCAGAAACTTACTAGCTGTGTGACCTTGGGCAAGTCACTTAAACCCATTTGCCTTAGTTTCATCATCTGTAAAATGAGCTAGAGAAAGAAATGGCAAACTACTCTAGGATCTCTGCCAAAAAATTCCAGAAGTGGTCACAAATAATCAGACACAGCTGAAAACAACTGAATAACACTATTGTACTTACATTCTGTGTGCATAGGGACTGAACTTGTGACTTCATCAGAATAGGAAATTCCCAGATAAGAAAATTCTCTCTAGTAATTCAAGCTATCACCTTCTCTTCACTTTATTGTTTTAGAAAATTGCCTAGAGCTCTGAGAGGTTCAGTGACTTACCCACAGTCACTGTGCTAGTAGGTGTGAGAGGCAGATCTTGAACTCGTGTCCTTCTGACTTTAAGGCAGGTTTACATACTACATTACTTCTCACATATAATATATTGTGTGCATTATTTTATGTGTATATATATATGTATATATATATATATATGTGTGTGTGTGTGTGTGTGTATATGTGTATATATATATGTGTGTGTGTGTATATGTATATATATATACACATATATGAAAATGGAAATTAAAATGAATGAGATAAAGATGAAATAAACATTTTTTAAAATATTTTTATTTTATCTATAAGTAGCATACACACACACACATGCACAAAACCTTCTTTTTGCTCTAGGAAGCAATGTGGTTGAATATGCTTCATTATTTTTTTAAACCCCTCTTTATGTTCTGGGGACAGGACTGACTTGTAAATAATAACAGTAATTAATTATACAGTTCATTTGATAAACGTAGCTAGTCAAGTGAAGGAATTTCTCTTAGGTAATTTTTATTGATAGATACACAATAAAAAATTTTAAATAGGTCATAGCAGTCAATAAACGTAACAGCTTTCCAGTAGGAGTCATGTTTCTCTGAATATAGATAATCACCATAAACAATGGAAAAACAATAAACCAAAATGAATTGTCTTTCCTGCCAGCTCAGCAGAAAGATTTCTAGATGACTCCATTCCTCTTTCTTTTTGTAGTTTCTATATTATAGACAGTGTCATAGCTTAGTTTCCTATTCATGTTTGTGAGTAGAGTACAGAAAGAAGAATAATGTATACGAAGGCTAGAAAGGTAGATTGAGGCCATGTTGTGAAGGACATTAAATGTCAAACAGGGGAGTTTATATTTTTCCTGGTGTAGGGAGGTGACATAGTCAGACTTGCACATTAGGCAAATCACTTTGACATCTCTGCAGAAGATACAGAAAGGATACTTGAGGCAAGGAGAGAAATTAAGAGGTCATTGCAGTGGTCCTGATAAGAAGTGATGAGGAGCTCACCTAGGGTGCTAGCTTTGTGAATGGATGAAGAAAGGGAATGGACATGAGAGATGTTATGGAAATAGAAACAAAATTTGGCAGCTACTTGGATGTGTGATGTAAGCAAAGGTTAGGAATTCAGTTTGGCATTGAGGATTTGAACGTTATCAGGTCACTACTAGCCTCCCCTTTCACATAAAATATGGTAAATGCTGGTGCAAAGCAGTATCTAACCCATCACAATTGCTTCCTCCCAGGCTGCTTTGGTTTGCACCCCCTTACTGCTTACACTTCTGGTTTAAGGAAAGGTTTATTCCCAGATGGCCGCCCATATTTGGGGATTTAGCCCAGGCCTATAATGGGGAAGGTGGGCCTTGAAAACCAGCACCTTCTGAGATTCTCCTGGAAACAAGACTGAAAATAAGGCTCTTCTATTCCTGACCTCAACCTCACAGGGGATGATATTACATTTCTTAGACCAAAGATTATCAGAGGGCCCTCCTGGAATTGACCACAATTCCTAATTGGGGAAGGGGGACACAGGGAGTAGGATGGGGTATACAAGTAATTGACTTATATTGTCTAGTCAACTAGAGGCATTTCTGTAACTAAGATAAATGTAATAGTGCCTCTAAACTCCCTTGAACTATGATGGGACCAAAAGGATCTTTCTTTCATTAATCTTAAATGTTCTTCGGTTGGGCTGTGTGGCCTGTGGTCAAGAGATCGGGTGACCAGTTCTGGCTTTAGGTAAGCCGCTGGACCTGGCTGTTTCATTTTTTCTTCTTGTAAAATGAAAATAATGACTGTCCCCTTCACAGAGGATCTGCTAAGATGATTGAGAAAATACATGAAACACTTTCAGCTTGGAAAAAATGGGATGTATTCTCATTGTTATCCTACTGAACGAGGGGGGAAAACAGAAGACAGTAATTAGTAATGCATCAGACTGAGAACGTCTCAGAAAAACATTAACATAATCAAGTATTTCACAATCCCACTGAGACCCACATTCTCTAGCACCAAAGAAATTTTCATGGTCTTTATTTTTCAAAGAGCAGAGAAGGAGAATATGAGATCATCTATGGATAATTACTGTGTAACTACTAAAAGAAGCAGCTTGGTGGGAGAGAGGGAGTTGGCCTTAGAGTCAGGAAGTTCTGGGTTCAATTCCCCTCTCTGACACATGGAACCACAATAGGCTTCTGAGTCTGGCTACTCTTCACATTCATGGAGTGGTCCAGTCCTTTGGAGCAGATGACTCTCTGCTGGTTGTTGTTGGGTTGGGTTTTTTTCCCTTCTTCCTCTTTTAATGGACTTATCAGAGTCCTAAACAAAACAAGGCCAGGCCAAGGAGGCAGAACTAAGTGATTACTAAGGCTAATACTTTCATTCCCCTCCCTTCCTCTCTCCAGAGGACAATGGCTGCAGCTTTCAGGGCTAGAGTGACCTTTTTACTTAAATAACAAGTTAATTAGGATGGATGTTAGGCTACATTCCTCCAATGTGGGCAAATCACCTAGATGTTCCAAACTAGTGAGCCCTTACCAGAAACTTAGCATGTAAAGGACTTTCTGTGGTGAAGGCCAAGCATGGCTATTGCTAGAGACCAACTAGGACTGAAAGGTCCTAGCTATATCCAGGAAAGCTATATCCAGGAAAGAAAAGAATTAGAAAGGAATGATGGATAAAGGCAGCATGTGTAGGAAGCAGGAAGGGTTGCTAGGCATCAAAATAGAACATGGATGCAGAGTGATTAAAGACATTCCAGGAAGGAAAGAGAAGGGAAAGGGGGGGGGGAAGAGGAACACAAGGGAGGGAAAGGGGAAAAGAGAAAGGAAGGGAGAGGACTAGGGAAAGGAGAAGGAGGAGAGAGGACATGGAGAAGGGTAGATGAGAAAGAGGAGAGAAGATTAAAGCCATAAGTGAAATGGACCATGCAAAATATCTTCAGAGAACCCCCAATGCCAAAAGGATAAAGGCCGAGCTCCTTGGCCTAGCATGCTAGGCCTTGCATGATCTAGCCTTAACATGCCTTATTGTCCATCACTCCCCTTTATACACCTTCTGTTCTAGTGATATTGAACTCCTCATTGTTCTTTCAAATCAAACACACATATTTACTTTACCATATCATTGCTCATACCATTCTTCCTATATGTACACCCTTCATCTTCTCTGATTTATTAAATCTCATCTATTATTCAACACTCAACCTAGCAGTTCCATGAGGATTTCCCTGATTCCTTTTCCCACAACTAAAAGGGATCCCTCCCATATGGAATCATTCATTCATATTACTTGGGTCAACTTCTCTCACGCACTTAATCATATACTAATTTGTATTCTTGCTGTGTATTTAAAGGGAATCCTATGATCAATTTAATGAGTTCACCAGTGGACCTGATGAAACCACAGGGCAGGTACTTCTTTGTCTGGAGTCCTCTGAAGGGCATCTCCTGTAGACATAGGCATACAAACAAACTTTCTCCTACCTGAAAGAACACAGGGAATTCCTGGGATTGCCTTCAAGGTGACTAAGAGTGAGGGGAAGCAAACTCTTTTTAGAAGAGCTACTCCTCTCTAGTGGTCTATAAAAGTGAGCTCTTCTGGTTATCTCTCAGTCTGTCTATCTCTGTCTCTGTCTCTCTATCTCTATCTCTGTTTCTCCCTCAGTCTCTTCCCCCTCCCCAGAGCTCAGCTGAGAAGACGTTCATGGGGAGTGGGGGGGGGATTTCTTCGCCTTCCCTTTGCCCAGAAGCCATTAATGGTGGCTTGAGGCTAGCTGTATATACTTACATAGGAAGCCGAATATTCCTTTGTTTCCTTGTTTGGGCACAGGTCAGACACCAGAGCTCCTAGGATGGATATTCCCTACCCAAAAGCCAGGGCATTGACAAAGCTCAGCAGAAGTGACTTGAACATGGCCTAACCTGAATGAACTTTCCCAGTCTTAATGGGTTATAGTGGGTTATATTGTGGGTCATCCCAAATTCAAGAATTCAGGCACTAGCCTTGAAGAAGGAGGTAATTTTCTCAATAGTCATTTTTTAAAAAAGCATCCTGTCCCTTTAGCATCAGATCTGGAACTATTGACCCTCCCCAGTATTGTCATGCTCAGACATTGCAAGTCTAACATAAAGGGAAGTGCTTATTCAACTGCCCCCAACATATTCTGCCTGGGGGGAAGGGGTGTGTGTGTGTGTGTGTTACCACTGGGGTTATTTTTGTGCTTGATGTTTCTAGATCTGTTATGGGCTCCTGTGATTACTTTTCATTTTATGTGGTTTTTCTTAGTTAAAAGAAAAAAAAGCCTCCCAATACCCAACAGGCATTTGGAACATTGAGTTTGCATCCAAACTGAAAAAACACTCTGCTTGATGAGTCAAGGCTTAAGAGCACCTTGGCAGCCTCCACTTTGGGAAAGAGGAAAGGATAGAAGGATACACAATCACTGTAACTCATTATCTCAGTAACATTAGCAATAACAGTAACAGTAACAACAAGAAAATATAGAATGAAACATAATAATATTAATAATAATCAGCTACTTTTATTTACCTGTGCAGCAGTCTATAGAATTATAAATATAAGTGAATAACATCAGGATAGCAACTTGTACCTGTATGGGATAAGAATAATTATAATTATAATATATGGCAAGTCCTTTGATTTTCTTTGTAACAGAAGTTTTGTACCACTTACGTTTTGTATGAATTGATGCATTCTTCCATTTCCCCCCCAACTTAATATATTTTATCTTCCCCAATTACATGTTTAAATAATTTTTAGCATTTTTTAAAGTTTTGAGTTCCAAATTCTATCCCTTCTGCCCTCCCCTCCCCCATCCCTGAGATGGTAAGCAATCAGATATGTATGTAATCATGTAGAACATTTCCATACTAATAGTTTTGTACAAGAAGATGAATCGATGCATTTTGAAACTATTTTTTAAAGACCAAATCCTCTTTCCCACTCCCAAGACAGAAGAACTGGAAAGAACAGACATACCAAAGGTGTTAGCTTTTATTTCCTCCATAATATAGGGCATAGAAGAGCAGCTTTTGAACCAGGAAGGCCGGAGTTCAGCTTCTCCCTCTGACACATACTAATTGTGTGTGATGAGGGTCAGGTCACTTTATCTCTGAAATCCCAAGGTAATTCTCAGAGATCACAAATGGCATAGAAGTTGTCCTCCTGAAATGGTAGAAATAGAGTGCATTTCTATCTTGGGCTCTTCTCACACTGATAGAATCATAGTTCCAGATCTAAAATAAAACACAGGTCAAGAAACTGTAGAAGCCAGGTAAGCTATGTGATCCAGCACCAAGGCCTGAGGCAAATGGCTTGCTCTTACCGGCTGTTGTTATGCAAGATGCATAATATTTACAAGGTGGAGAATGATTGAAATATTTGCTACCTTATTGCAATAGCAGAAAGTTGGAAATGACCTATGTCCAATGATTGGGGAATGGTGGAATAAAGAATGGTATTTGAATACAATGAGATAAAAATGCAATGGGGTATTCCTATTCATCAAGAAATAAGTAATCCAAAAAATTCAAAGAAATAAGGGAAGACTTCCAGGAAATGATGCAGAGTGAAGACAGCAAATCCAAAAGATCAATATGCACACAGACCATAGCTATGTAAGTGAAGACAATGCCAAATAGAAAAACAAACAAACTAAACCTGAGGTTAAATACAAAGGATGACATTTTTTGACCTTGGCCTAAAGTTAAAACACAAAGCCTCTCTCTCATTCTGTTAACATATGGTAAGTTACAGGAACCTATGGTAAAATATTTGCTGTCCTGTTTTGTTTGGTTTAATTCTTTTGGGGACAGTACACTTCACTTACTTCACTTTTATTTTCTATATTGGTTTGTGTTTGTCAGAAGTGTTAAAAAAACACTTTATCAATAAAACAATTTATCAAATGCATATTACCAAAACAACTTCTCAATAAAAGAAAGATTGGCTACCTGTTAATTTGTGCTTGGATTTATGAAATTAAGGAGGTAATATTTGTAAAGAGTAAAAATACCAAGTGGCTGACCCTTTTTCAATATCAAGTATTCGTATGTTAAACTTAGGTTGAACGACAGTGTGGATATAATGGAGTCATCTCTGGGACTCTCTACCCAGAGCTGTTCTATCTGCCTCCAGTCCACCATGGGCGAGCTTCAGGGCCTGCTTTAGGCTTTCTCAATGGATGGAGGAGGGGTTTGAGGGAGAGGGAGAACTTGGACCTCAAAATTTTTAAAAAATGAGTATTAAAAATAATGACTAATTTTAAAAAATCATCAACCCAGTGGGGCATAAGAGAAGTTAGTATCTCCACGTACTGAAGTTTGTGTTTATCAAATGCGTGATTGTGAGTGTTTTGTGTTTAGCTTGTCCATGTATGGAAAATAAATACCTGTCTCATAACTTATTCACATTGTACATTGAAAATCTTTTTTATTCTCCTCTTTGGAGAGACCTGTCCCTCCATAGAAATAAGCCATAATCTAAGTCAGTAAATCTTCCTTGGGACACTGGGGTGGGGGTTTAATGAGCCAAAGAATGTGAGAAAAGAGAACCTAACCTCCCTTAGGAGGTTCAGGACTGAACCCTGTCCAGACCACATGTATAGGTCCAGAGCAGAGGAGTCTCTTACAGGGGATTGGATGCAAAATCTTATCTTGGTTCCTCACCATTAGACTTATCTATGCTATTTTTCTGCTGAAATATTAGTGGTTTTGGCAGTTCAAATAACATCTCCTTTGAGGGACTTTTCTGAGGTGCATTAGGCAATTTTCTGTGATAGGCTGCTTGCATTCTAGATCCTCCCCATTTCCTACTTAACATTCTCTTCCTTTATCTAAAATCATCTATGTTAGGAAGCTTCCATGCTACAACCTTCTGTGTCCCATGATTGATAGCAGGGTTCCCTCCTCTGATCAATCCCTAGTATTTCCTCTTCTAGGACATCAGAGACAGAAAACTAATCAGAAGTGCCAACTACAATCCTATAAACCTCCTTGCCTTTGCACATGTTTCTGAGCAGCACAAATATGCAGAAGACAGAACCCCAGTACCTCTTTACTGAACTAGGAAGACTGATGAGACAATGGCATAATATCTTGAATGTACTAAGCTCAGAGAGTAGCCTCTCACAGCATCATTGATTCCACACACTGCTCCTGTTGAGTGACCTGAAGATCATTGCACAGAGATCCATACCCCTTCCAAGGACTTAGATGTGTCCAGTGTTGGGTTGACCTTGACTCCTCTTCCCTTAAACCCTGAACCAAGACGTTACAAGTTAGGTCTTGCATCTTTCCTTTTAAGAATTATAACTTGTCCAACTTATTGTTTTTATTATCATTCCCTGTTTCTTTGAAAGTTTCTATGCCCCAAAACAACTGAAATGGACCAGGACACCATTTCAGTTCAAAAGTTATATAGATTAGTTGTTCATATTTAAAATATTCATTTTAAAGGTACCATCTATATATTTATATAGGACCCTGCCCATGTAGGATGTTCTGTCTTTCCAAAACTTAGTCTTTTTCAGATTGACACTCACTTAGAACAAGTTATTAAACTTTAGCTAATAGTCTGTCGCCTTATCTGCCAAATGGTCTTGGAGAAGAGATCTGCTTAAATGATTGAATAATCTAGTATCATCATCATTATGTTCAGCCCTCCTAATCAGACTGGAGCATCCATCCCTTCATTGTCAATGACCCTCCATTTCCTGCATTCAGGATGGGAATCACGCTCTATTGCCTTTTGACAGGGATATAGAGTTGTTATTTCCCTGAAAAATACTGAGAACAACTACTGGACACAAGAAATGTTGAATCAATAAGAACCCAATTGATGAGAAAGTATAGTTCAAGGCATGCTTAAAGGCAATGAGATTCATAGTGGAATCTATACATTCAAAAAAGGGTTGATCCCTTCCAAGTTGTTGTTTGTCCTTCATTTTGGAAGAGGAACAATGACATCATGGGGTGATATCTTGACTTGTATGTGAATTGGATTTACATGAGACAGTCATCAGCCTTATTCTCTCTTCCAAAGTCATCGAAGTCCAGTAGCAAAACAAAAGTCAAGACAACTGGCAATAGCCCAGGATGCAGTGGATGACTTTGGCATCTTCAGCGACTAACCAAGCTCTAAGGGCTCCATGGCACCTGCTTCAGCCACCTTCATGGCTGTTGGAACAAATTGTTCTCATCTATGCATTCCACTAGGGGATGTCTTCAAGTGTTTGGGGAAGACATCTCCTTAGCTCACTGATGAGTTTGAGGCCTGTCAGTTATCCTCAACCTGGTTTACCCCATCTGACAAGGCAGTTTTATTAAGGTGTGGCCACCATGCATGCTATAGGTTCTTGGAGCCACAGGTGAGAGTTGAATGATAAGTGGACACCAAAGGTAGATGAGCAACTTTGAAAAGGGCTGAGCAGACCCTCACACCAGAGGTGCTAGTCCTCCCTGAGCAGCCCATGCACCCCACCCTTCCAAGTAATTACCTTGGGAAGCTAGACGCTTATTTCCACATGTTGAACATTCTCAAAACATTTTTAATAATTCTTCTTTTGGAATGGACTTCAGAGTTAGTGGCACATTCTTTTAAATAATCTTGGTATCAACAAATCATTGTCCTTTCGGGGTGGATTTGATTTTTGAAAAGGCAAAAGTAATTGATAGCCAAGTGTTATAGCAGGGGAAAAGCAGATGACCAATCTTTCTAGTATACTTTGTCTTTAAAGGGGGGGGGTGACTAAAAAGTAGTAGAATTGAGCTTTTTTGTATGACCTCTCTGAGTATACATTCCAAAAGCAAATTCTTAGTAAAGGTTCTGAGTGACACTAGCAGCACTGAAATATGTAGTCCCAAGTAATAAATAAGTATCCCAAGTTAACTACTTTGAAGGACAACATTAAAATTTTAAGATATTAACTTATTTATTTATTTTCAGTTTTTAACATTCATTTCCATAAGATTTTGAGTTCCGAATTTTCTCCCTCTCCCTCCCCTTACCTCAACATGGCATGCAATTTGATATAGGCTTTACATATACATTCATAAGGACAACATTAATTTATATCAAGAATCAGCAAACTATCACGCAAAGGCCAAATCCGGCCCAGTATCCATTTTTGTATGACTTGAAAGCTAAGAATAGTTTTACTTCTTACAAAAACAAGTAGGATGGTAGATTTGGCCTGTAGGCTATAGTTTGCTGAGTTCTGATTTAGATTATGAGTTCTGATAGTGATGACAGTACTTCAATTTTTCATTGGAATTTTCTAATCAATAATCATATTTCCTCTATCAGTGAAGGTCATAACCCACTGATACCTTGTCATCCTGTGCCACTCTGGTCTGTGGTCTCCATATTTTGCAAAGGATCCACCTAGCATCCTATAGGCCTTTCTCTTTAGCCAGTCTTAGATATACTTTATGGGTACTAGTAGAGTTGTACATCTGTTTTCTCTTGATCTCACTATATGAATAGCCCACTGCCTTTTTCAATTTCCTTGCATTTATCAAGAAATATATTCATGAGAGAGATCTTATTGGAGAGCCTTAAAGGATGAATTCTGCTACTAGATCAAATGCTATTTTCACATCAGTGAACAATAAATATTGGCAGAAATAGGAAGTTTTAGGGAGTTTAGGGTTTATGGGAAAGGTAATGAGTTTCAGTTTAGATATGTTGAATTTTGAAGTATCCCTGTGATGTAAAAGAAATAAACATATAACTATACCCCACAAAAATAGTTTTATTTATTTGGACTTGACTGGACAAGCTTATATTTCTGTGACCTGGATGATTGTCACATACAAAGTTATAAGGGGGGAAGGAAGGATATTTCCCTTCTCTGAAAAAGTGTGTATTTTGAGGATTTGTATACAAACAGTGTGCTAATTACATGTGCACCGGTCTTGAAATGAAACTCAAATGTGAAGCCTGACTCCAACTCTGTGGTTATGGAAAAACTTTGGGAATTCAGTTTCCCGGGAGATCAGAGCACATCATTCCCACATTTGGAAGGATGCACTTGAGCTCAGTTTTGAAACAAATTGAGGCTTCTAAAGGACAGAGGTGAGGACAACCATGGGGGACAGTCTAGGCTAAGGCAGAAAGACAGAAAATGAA